CGGCCAAACTATAAATTTCTATCTAARCTGTCAATAATTGAATCGCCTTAAGAAAGCAATCGCCCAGAAGCGACTAGCATACRCCAATGGGAGAGGATGACGAAAGTGACTAGTCAGAAGCTCCGGATGCTTGATTGACATGTTTTCATATATTAACCTTATAGTTTGGACCTAGCATCAAGTGATTACTACCAGTTCCGGTCTTTTGCGAACTTGAAAGTTGACATAGTTCCGGAAGTTTGACGTTTAGCAATTGATCTCTCAGAGGCTCTGCGTTAACAGTCAATGGAGCACCGACTGTGTACTGCCTCTTCCACTATCCACTATTCTCTGTCTCAAGTGGAGAGCGGTGTCATTCGCTGCCAGCTACTACTTAATGTTACGGTGCAAGCAGTCATAAATATCACCGCCGTGTTACCCCGCGCACCGCACCGTGCACGCTTATTGTACGCATGGCTAAATAGAGAATGACTCTCTCGCTTTGATTGGCCTTACTTCTTTGACTCCTACGCACCTACGTACATATACACCTTGTATATGTATTGTTTGACTGCTTTTGCTTTTGTTGCTATTGCCGACTACAACAGTGGCGACAGCTTTTATAGTAACATCGTGCGTGCAAGCGTGTGTGTAGATRTTTTAGCTTGCTTATACTTAATAAAAAAATTAGATGTGAGTAAAAATTRAATTACTACGTCGTCGACGTTGCGTATTTCTTTGTTCAAATGAACAATTTACCCATATGTACATATGTATGGCACATGCCTACATATAAAGCCATTAGTTGAGAAAGAGGTATAGCAATAATATATGGATGTTTATGTGAGTTAATATTAAAATGTGGGCAGACGTGCAATCATGAGATGCATATAAATAAATRCATATTTCTGCATACTATGTAGGTACATTCATACGTATATACACACAAGAGCTACATCAATATGCATTGTAAATATGATCGTTCGTTGTATCAAGTGCATTTAATTAATTTCTCTCCAAAGTTGGACGTTGTGTCGCTAAATCGCATGACCGTTATTAGTGTGCATAAAAGCATGCAAAAGCTACAATATCATGAGCCATAACAGCAACAACAACAGCGGCACCGTCGCACTAAAATTGACTTCAATTGACTTAGATTAATGGCCATGTCCACAATCAGTTAGATATAGTTCACTATTTCATAAATTATTATTATGAATTTTATTTATTTATTTTTTCTCATATCGTGTTCATTAGTTGTTCTTGTTTTTGGTCGCATATAATTTCAGTGTTTTAAAAATGTAAGTTTCCGCTAAAAATCGTTTGGTCTACAACACACATATTATATGTACATATGTACACATTTTTGATTTATTGTTATTTTCTGCTCCATTAACCGTTTTGACAATTCGAATATTTTTTGATAATCTGTCGGATTTGCAGAAGWTGCTTTCTCACCACTCGTCATTATACAACGAGTTTTAAATCATCTCCACTGTGGTCAATAACCTAGAGAATATTAGTTACGCACTTAATGCGCTGAAATTGCTTGACCTGTGCTGAACAGTATTATCAAAAGTTATCACCAAAATTCTGTTCATGAGCCATGTGAGTTGCAAGCGTAACACGATAGAATTGGGTCTAGCTCCCACATAGGATATAATAAAAAATTAAATTTTTWGTAGATCCGTCTGTGTTAATAACTATCGATGGCTAACATAAAATTAATTCGTTGCCAACTGGGATTTTACCTATGTATGTGGAATGATTTGACCAGCTTCAAAGAAGCGCTTAGAGAACTATTCACATTTAATCTTGCATCGGGTAGCACGCTTTGTGTTCTTACTTGTTCACTGTCACGCAATTCGGCAAACCTTTTTATTTTGAAAATACAGAAAATTTTTAACGTGTATACGCAATGAGAGACATCAAAAGAGAATTTACTGACATAAGAGTGCCCGTTCAGACGGGTGCCAACTAACAAAACATTAACAAAAACAGTTCAACTCTGCACAKCATAATTCTGTCAGTCAGCAACGATCAAACATCAAAAAGAAAATTACATAAAAGAAGTGAGCAGAATGAATAGTCACATAAAAACAAAAAAACATACAAGTGGCATGAGGAATCAAAAACTTTGCTCAACACAAATAAAAACACAACAACTGCAGTATTCACTGGTAAACAATTTATGGGTAATTTTCAAGATGGGGGGATAGGACAACAAAAAGCTGTGGCCAGCAAATAACACAATGTGAAAAATTCGCGCCGGCAACTCYTATGATTCGAGGGTCCAAGTACTCTTTGCTTGACTTCCCCCCAATGGTAGTGATGATGGCGTGGTTGAGAGCACAGAATTGGAGATGAGTGGCGCTGCAGTGGAAATATGGGGACGAAAGGGTAGAAAGAATCAAGTAAACAAAGCTTACATGCCAATATGCATATTTATATACATATGTACATACAGTTGCGAGCATTGAAATAGTAGTGGCTATTGACAAAAATAGTTTCGCTTTAAATTTTGTTTCTTTTATGGTATTGAATTTGATTATTATTCTAGCTATATTCTCTGTAGTGTAACGGTACTGTTATACACAACAATAAGTGCGAAACACTTACCGTTACTTGTTTACAGATAATTATATTGTGATACCTGTATTTACGAGCGAGCATTAAAATAGTAGTGAATGGTGAGCCGATTGGACACAGATTATTTTTACTAAAAAATATTTAATTTTATCAATCAAAAAGTAAGTTTCTTGTTATTTTATTAATTATCCAATGAAAAAAGCTAAAAAAATATGACTGTGCTGCATATTTTAGTGGGCCGCGGGAAGCACTGCAGTGAAGAGAAACGAAAATGGATTCGATCTGTCATAAACAACGGTAAATCCTAGAAGGGAGTGGAAAGAATTGTAGGGTGTTAAGCCACAACGACTCACAATGCAATTATTTATTTAAAAAAAAGATGAAAGAAGGGGCGCAGTATGGATTCTTTCCGAGAATTTTACACCAATAGTAGTAAGATGTGCCAATACTCGACCTAGAATGTCAACTATGGAGACTCGGAATGAACTGAACCTGACCTGCGGTGCTCATACAGTGAGAAGACTTCTACATGAACATAATTTATATGTCCACAGTCCTCGATAAGTACCGTTATTAAAAAAAATCAAATAGCAAATCGTCTTAAATTGGCCAAAGGACCGATTGAGAAATGGCGCAACATCTTTTAGACAAACGTGTCGAAAGTTATTCTATACGGCGGTAAAGGGTCCCGTCAGTATCCAAKACGCTCCCCTAATAGAGAGTACGACCCCAGATTCAGCACAAAAAGATTACTAGCATAACGGACCGGCACAAATTCGTGGATATAATGCAGTATATTATGATACCATTTGCTGAAGAGAACATACCGATGAAAAGGATATTTCAGCAGAATAATGACCCGAAGCACACCAGTAGGGTGGCAAAAGAGTGGTTTCGGGTCAATGGAATTGATGTCAAGGATAGGTCAGCTCAATCGCCTGGCCTCTATTCTATTGAAAACCTTTGGACAGACGTTAAGAAAGCCGTATGGAATGACAAACCCAAAAACAACAATGAGTTGTGGACCGTAGTGCAGCAAGCATGGCAGAACATACCATTAAAAAGATGCCAGAGTCTCGTAGATTCTATGAATAGGCGTTCTATTGCTGATATTAAAAATCATGGCCATGCTACCAAGTACTATCTCGTATAGACGGAACTTTCAAAAATCCTTCAGTTTAAAAAAAAAATAAAATTGATTACTTTACTACTATTTTACTGCTCCCATCAAATTTCATATATAAATACAACTTTGTGAATAAATATATCTTACACCCATTCAAATGAAAATATTTTTATTAACAAACGTAGCCAGGGAAATATGATAAGCTTTTCCATTTCAATTGATGTTAAAATTGTTTAGAATTTTGCATAACTCACAGGTATGTAAAACTCTAACACCCACTACTATTTCACTGCTCGCAGCTGTACATACGTACATAAAATCAATCAAAGTGAGTGCACTGTAAATATCTGTTTATAATATGTACCATATGTACATATATAAATACTCGGTATAAATTTATATGTATATCCACATACATATGTGTGCATGTAGATATATTATATTATAATAGAACAGCGTTAACAAGAAGTAGTGGAACAAGAAGAACAGCCATAAACACAATACACATTTGTATGGGCGAGTATGACTTTCGTCTGGCTGTGTGTGAGTTTCATTACTTCGTTGGGGCGCATGTTTGCATAGAATGAAGAAATGAAAGAAAATGGGAAGAAAGCCCACACTATATGCCATACAGTGTTGTGCAAGTAATGGTTTTCTTATCCAAATTGATTTGTAATATAATCATGCTGTATACAAATATTTTCAAACGCGAATATCTCGAAAACTATAAGCTTCCCGCGGCTATATTCTTGACCGACCCAAATATTTAAATTCAAACATATGTCGAAAGGCAAATTTTTGGCAGCTGAAACACTTTCTTATTATATGGCACACCTATTACAAGTAGTGTTTTCATTGTGACTAATGTTTTACACARCATTGTATATATGCTTATACATATTTATGTACGTGCCTGACGACTGCTAACCAAGGAATCGCTAGTGTTAAAACGCGTTTAAGTAAAATCCGATTGGAGCATTCAAATGAATGAATAAAACGAGCGAGCAAACGAACCAACGAACACAACAACAAAGCAGCGAATATTGAATCGGATGAATTGTTGCTGTAATCTGACGGATGGCCATTGACGTAGAATGAAAACGAATATGCGAGGCATGAATGAACGAGTACTAGCATTTTGTTTGGAAAATTTTATGTGAAGGAATTTATGTTGAGTATCTTAAACCATACTTGTATTATACATATTTGCAGTGTTTGAATTTTTTTTTTTACTGATTTGAATATACTGATCGATAATATTAACATATCTCTAATATAACATTAAAATATTATTGACGTAGCCTACCTTAACAAGTCCTAAGAATTTGTCTTTCATGGTTGCATATTCCATTTTGTTTTTATCGGCAGGTTCCGTAGTTTTTTCAAACATAGTCATTATATTATAAAAACCAGCATTTTTATTCACAGTCCAATTATCTTATTTCACTAATATCTTTTATTAATTACTTGTTGTATATTAATAATATTAAGCACGATTATATTRCAGAATTTGTTTTCGTTAACATTATGTGCTGTACAAGATATGATAAGATTCACAATTCAGCGTTCTTGTTATTCAAATCAACACTTTTTCTATTTAATTGTTTTTTTTCTAATATGCGGTTATTCTTTTCCAATCAGCTTTTGTGGAATACATGTAGCATTACCATCCACATTTCTAATTCGAATTTTAATTTGTTGAAACTAGAAGAAGAAATGCACAAATTTTATTATATATTTTATCCACTTTTCTAAAAATTTTTTGTCACTATAACTGTGAAAAATTGCACACCACCACCAATAGTCTGTATTTGTATAAGAACACGAGTTTGATTGCCTATCAATTTAAGAAACCAACTATTCGTCCGGGTAAGACAACTCAGAGAGGCACTCGAAGCGATGAATGCTTAACAATATCACCCCTCTAACAATGCACACTTAATTTTAACATCTACACGAACCTACTACGGTATCGGCAGTTGGACCAMCATGCCGCTTTTTGTTGTGAAAAGKGCTTCATTCATTGAAGAAAATATATAAGCTATATACACGTCGTTGCGAGCATGTCAGCAGCGGTTGTGACAGTAAAATCTATGTACATAAGCGAAAGAGAGACCGAACAAACGAAGTTGACGGCGATCTCACTGCTAAAACTTGTTAAATAGGTGCAGAGGTGGTGGAGTATTTGCACGCATGGGAAAAAAAATGATATTATACATTCTGGAATAGGGTTTGCAAAGACCAAGTACAAATATACATATTTCTGTACATACTCATGTATGTATATGTATATCTAAAAATGTACTTTTATTATATGAAAAACATTTTGCGAAACACTAAATGAAATGAACTGCCAAATATTTGAAGTACATATTTGTAAACATAACGTCTTCTTCTTCCGTTCACATGAACTATTGTATTTCCTGTCAAAAGCACTTAAAAATAGTAGCGGCGGAAAATCGTCTAATTTATTTATTTATTTTTCTCAATTTGTGGGCACGTATGACAGCTCCGGTCCTTTAATTGAAGAGACAAGAGTGCCATATACATATATATATATGTATATATATTTTAAAGATGTTTTTCATATAATTTTAATTCCTGACCGTACTCATTTTTCTCGCTTTAAGCCTTATATATGTACATATCTATTTACAATTATCCAGAATGCGCGTTAGCGAACGCCAACGCCGCCCTCAGCAATCTCTCTGGGCGGTCACATGTGTCAACCCTTACTTACATCCTAAACACTACCCTATTTGACCAAAACATTTCCTTAATATTCATTTACGTCTGCAAAAAAGTAATGGACTCCTAATCAGTACAATTTAGGCTCGTTCTATTTGTACACGTTTAAGTTTCTTGCACTGCCACAATTTGTAGAACTTTTGCCATTCAGTTGTTTTTTTCTTTTCATCACTTTTGTATTCCTTTCCATGTCAAAAAATACACACCTACAATGGAATTCGATTTTTTCTCAGCTTCTTATTTACGTTCACATATTCACGCTCTCTTTTGTTCACTCACTCATTGAAACCGTCATTTTTACCTATTTGCTTTTGTCCCCTCTTCTTTTCACTCTTTCTGTGATATCAGAAAAAAAAAAAAAAACTTCAACCAGATTTTTCATTACATTTTTTTGAATATTTTAAGATTTGTTTTTTTTTCACAATTCAACACAATAGCAATAATTTCGTATTTCACGCACTTGGATTCAGAAAGCCATCGTTTGCTTTACAAATATGAAATTATAAGAAAAGGAAGAAAAAAAGAATTTATCCTTCAATTTTCCTTTAAGAAAATGTCGATGAACGCGACAATCAGAAAACTTCCRTCCGTCTTTTAATCGAGCTCAAAGCGAAATAAAAGCAGTCCACAGTTTGAACCTTCAGGGTTGTATTTAATATGCACAGTACGGCGTAAAAGTGTACTAAATATTTTTAACAAATTCTGGCTTATTTATTGTGGTCTACGAAGTCAATCCAGTTTTATCTTACACGTAATGACTAACTGGTTCATATTTTCAATCAACTACAACACAGTTTGCTCAAAAATTTACAAATTCACGACATTGCAGTTTAAAGAAAAATATCACTTAATGCAACTCTGCAAGAAATGTGCGAGTGAATAAGCAATACGTGGCATGTTAGAACTGAAACGAGTAGAGTGTTTGAAATGTATGTTCTGCCTTTGCTAGCTGCCAGCAGATGGTGCGCATAAACAATTATCTGTAAATAGCGATTACAGGGTGTTTCGTCTGAACGTTTTCTTCGGAAATTGTACTGTTGCCGAGGATGATAATCTATACCAAATTTCGAAAAGATATCTCGTCAAATAAAAAAGTTTTGCATTTAGGGTATGGATTGTGATCGATCAGCTGGTATGGCAGCTACATATGTGCTTTAGCTAGATCGACGTCTCAAAAACCGGGTGACTAATGAGCTATATACAGATAGACGGTCATGGCATTTATATACATATGTATATTTTATTGAGGCTCCGACTTTTCTTTCAAGCGGTTATGAACTTCGGAGCAAACTTACTATATGCTGTTCAGCTTATAAAAATGTGCATATTTACGAGTATAAGTGCAGTAAATACTTTCTAGAAAAGCATTGGTTCAGTAATTCTTAACTGGTTTTGGGCGTCGTCTCTCAGTAAACAGTTCCATCCCAGACGTAAGGGTGCATTAGATAAAAATATGCCTGTGTGTGTATATGTGCAGTGAACACTTTCTAGCAAGAAGAATATCGACTTAGGCATACGTCAAACTKTAATTGTATATACACGAAGTACATTGGTATGGGAGGGTTATGGATCTTTCTTCCTTACAAGGAGGCCGAAATTGGTTGCGGAAACTTTAAGTAAAACTTATGAAATGCTTAGCATTAGCRATAGCTGCGGCAACCACTACAATAACAATACAATGAGCATATCCCACCTGTCGCAGATTGCCGAGTGGCCATTCGTGCCACAAACTTTAATGAAAGCGCAAAGTTTTCTGGTCATAAATCTAAGCCACAACAGCAACAGTAACAATAAAAGCGGGGAACAGCGCAAAAAAAAAAAAAAAAAACTGCGGCAATACTTTCTAGCAGCGCTGTTGACAGCCATGCAGCAGATAGTAGATATGCATCCGATTATACATATTATGTACATACGTACATATGTACATACATAAGTGGAGTACATATGGTATAGGCCAGTGGACGGTTGCAGCTTTCACCCTTTTCAATTGACAGCTCTTTTGAGAGTTGGGAAATTCGTTCAGTTTACTATTAATGCCAACACAATACTGACAAGTTATATGTTTATAGAAATAAGTTGTTGTTGCTGCTGTTGCTTCTATATCTTCTCTACGGCTAGCGCGTAAAGTTTGTTCTCATACCTTTTACCTGTCTGTTATGCTTTTATGCCTTCGGTCAGGTCATTCATTCTGGCTAATGGCACTATTTCCCTGGGAAAATATTATTTGCGTACCAGCAGCAAACTTTTATCACAAACCATGCCCCCGTTGTCCACGCTTCTTTTTTTTTTTTGTTTTGTTTTTTTTTTTTCTTGTTTTATTTATGATTTTTTTTCATTGCCTTTCAAGCTAGTTTATGCATCATTTGATGCTTTGTGGCGGCTGGGCAAAGCTTTTGTGCCCAACCGGAAGTTATAAAAATGTGCCGCTATTCATATAGCCCGCTATAACGGTATTTCGCTTATAGCGTTTGTTGTTCGTATTGTGTCAGTTATTGTCCTAATACTTTGTTAAGGAATTTGCCCGAGAAAGCTGTTGATGCTAAACTTCGACGCTGCTTTGGCTAACAATGACACATATGTTCGGCGTAAAGCCTGATGCCTAACGGTATGTGGTAGGAGAAAAAGTAGAACACATGGAAAAGAGGATGATTTATAGACTAGGTCAAAATATCACAGCTCTTTGAAAATAAAAGTGCGTTCTTTTCGATTCGTATCCGAGTGATTTTCATAACAAGCGACGTTGTGTATTCTTCAGACCAATTTTGGGATTGTTTCCTAATGTGGTGTATGCAGATATAATCCACAACTGCAKKAAGCTTCACAGCAAGCCGCACAAGAAATTTAAAAAATTTCCGTTTAAATGCCTAAAATAGCCTCTAGACTGATCTGGTCGGAACACCCCAGTATTTAGATATATACAGAGCAAATCCAAAGTGAAAACGATGCTTATTGCCTTTTCTGACATCAAAGGCATCGTTCACCATGAATTTGTTCCTCCTGGAAAARMAATSAACGTCAAGTTTTACGTGGAAGTSCTCAAGAGACTCACGAAGGGTTAATGGGGTCCGACAAGACATCGCAGCCGATTGGAAGTTGCACCACGACAACGCCCCGGYTCACACCGCCTTTCTTGTGAACAGCCKCCCAATAGTCCCTTTGTGGCCCCCCATAAAATCAATTTGCTTATGTGYAATAAAGGACMGCCCTAATATGAGTACATTGAAAGATGTCAAATAAGTAGCTAGTCATTACAAACGCCAGAATCAACACTATATGCCTAAAATGAATTTTAACAACTTTTATTTTGGGTTAAATGGGTTTTGGGTTTACTTATTTCGGCGTCCACGACAAACCTTAAGGTTTCTATTACTTTCACTTTGAATGCCCTTCATTTRTCGCTTAAGTGACATTTTACGGGAGACGAAAGTTCACCCGCTGACCATTTGTTCCCCAAATTTGACTAAAATTTATGACTTTCGACAAAAGTTTTGTAGCTAAATTGTCGTCTTTGCCATGACAGTAGGTTGTGAACCCATTTCCCCAAATGCTCTACAAGCAAAGGAATGTTGAAGGCGTTACCGTTTATTGTTTAGAGTTTAGGTTCATTTTGACTTTGCCAGCAGTTTCCATTACATTTTTCTACTCCTACGCCGTTTGAGCAAATGAAGAGAGGTGTTTTATGTCAATAGCCGGTGGCCAGCGAGCGCAACTCCAGAAATGTTGGAATATCAGAGCTTTTACTCGTTAATAAATATTTAGTACGAAGTTGAATTAACCCTTTTTTGATCGTAAATTCATGACAGCCGGCGGTCTTGAGTAAAGTTTATGAGCGCGTAAATGTGAGCTTCGGAGCGTCGACGGTTGTTCAAATCGGGTAGGAGTTGTTGCCTTGTAATAATACTTTAGCCCACTTTATATAATTGCAGAGTAAGAGTTTCTGTTAAATACGTTTAGGTGGGCTCACACCTTCAGCTTTTAGATTCCATTATTCTATTTTGTTAATACATATAAGCATATAAATGCCATTTGTCTTTTTAGCTGGCATCTTATCTTGGACAAGCTTAAATTATTTGGAATTGAAATTTATAACGACGTAAAGAGTGTTCGTCCATTCGAGAATCATTTGGAGCGCAGCTAAGTTTTTTATAATAGTTGATCCAAGTAAAGATACTTCTTCAATAGTTTTGTTTTCACAAATCACTCGTGAGTCGTGTCAAGCCGTCAAGTTATTTTTGTGCAGTATTGTTTGGCAGTTCATCATGGAAAGACTTACGCCTGAAGAACATTTACAAATAGTTCAACTTTATTACCTAAATTCCCGTTCTGTAATGAATTTGTTTCGAGCGCTTCGCTCAACTTATAGTCGACATAATCGGTCTACTGAGTGCACTATTTGCAATGCCATCACCCATTTTGAGATCTGTATAATATTCGTCCGAATAGACCAGACCACATCCAGTACGCAGTGAAGAAAATATAGCAGTCTTAGCTAAGAGTGTACATGAAGAACGTGCAAAGTCGATTCGGTGCCGCTCGCCGGATGTCGGACTGACGTATGGAACGACTTGGYGCATTTTACGTCGAAATCTTCAATCAAAAGCCTACAAAATACAATTTGTTTAAGAACTGAAACTGYTCGATTTTCACAAGCGGCATGCCTTTGCTCTATGACCGCTTGAAAAGCTGCATGAAGATGCGGTGTTTTTTTAGCCAAATTTTGTACGGCGATGAGACCCATTTCTGGCTCAACGGATATGTAAACAAGCAAAATTTCCGCATTTGGGACAAAGAGCAACGTGAAGAAGTTCAGAAGTTGTCATTTSATCTAAAAACAAAGGTTTGATGGGGTTTGTGTGCAGTTGGAATCATTGGTCTATATTTCTTTAAAAATGTTGCCGAAACTTAGGCCTATTTTAAGGCAAAGCACTAATCGTACTTTAAAAATATTACCGAAAAGTTGGAGAATTGCTATAATATGATTATCACACTTGAATTGTGTTGATTAAAAAACGTATTTTGCTAAAAAAATGCGTCCACGGCATTGAATATCCATCCTGTCTATATTTGCTGGGATAAGAAGAGCTTGCTGTATTATGAGCTTCTAAACAACTTATGGGGAATAGAAAGAATTGTATTTATTTTTCAAAAACAATGGCTGGAAAGCTTTGCCTCACCTGCCTAAGAGTTCAGCCATTGTAGCTTCTGTRTTTGATATACGTTTCACATTAGAACAGATTATCAAAAAATTGGCTAGATTTATTCGTGATCACTAAGTCATCGCAGTTCTTTTGGGATGGAATCCACAAATTGCCCGAAAGATGGAAAAATGTCACAGCTTCAGTTAAGCAATAAGCAATCGAACTTTTGCTCTCACAATTTGCAAAGATTAAAGCCGGGAAAAATTCTTTACAGTTTTTAATAATATATCTGAAATGTTGACCGATATTTGCGGTARCAAGTTTGCAATAGAAACTGGGATCCACATATTCGGTAATATGGTTTTCTTCCGATTTTTCCGACAATTTTTGGTTATAGGAGGCAATAGCTCAGGAACACTATTCGTGCAAAGTTTTATCCGGATACATGGATTTGTTCCTG